TTCATCAGTCAAGGAAACACACAACACAAAACTGATTCTTCCCCCAAACAGCTTACTCCACTTACTACTTTTGTGTTGTGTGTTTCCCTGACTGATGAAGCCTTCTGGATGGAAGGTGAAACGTTTCAGCAAAAAAAGAAACTGTCCAGATGACCTGACTGAAAATTGCTGGATTGTATACCTGGATTACTGAGCATGGACTGTGTTGATATAGAAGAAGAATCTTTATGAGAAAAATGCAAATCAAACATTAGATCATACTTGTCCAATATTAAATTAACATAGTCTATTTGTACATATAATATACAACACTTTGGTCAACCTATTTGGCAACTGTGCAAATATCTGTCACCTACATTTCTGAGTTGTACTTGAACATTTACGTTAGTTACTGCAACTTCTGCCTCAACCCAACCCTAAACTGAATATGAATCAGTAGGCGGCAAGAAGATTTGCTATAAACCAGTTTTAATTGCTTCCTGGAACAAGTTTTTAGTTTAATGTGCCATAAAACACAATTAATTATGAGACCGATGGTAATTCGAGTTAGATGTCTCAGTTAAATGCTCTTATTTGTCCTGTACCTGATATTGTTGATATTCAAGACATGTGCATACATTTATTAGACTACACTATGGATGGTATAAAAAGGTATGAAAGTGGAATTCGGTAATAATTAAACTTAAAACTCCAATAAATGGAGATACGAAACACTGGACAGTTTATAACAAGAACAAGTTTATAGTAGAACAATCAAAACTGGGCTCTGTGATTATTCTTTCATACATACTTTGTCCTCAAGCTAAACTCTTCTATAAGATTGTTTTTTTTTTTTTTTAGCACACATTTTTTCTTGTGATTTTAAACACAACAGTCACTTTGGAAATGAGTTGTCAAACAGAAAACAAATCGTGTTTCTAAACAGAGATTTTATGGGATCTTATTCTCATACGCCACCTCACCTGTTAAATTTTACTGCTGGTTCATTTGTATTTCATTAAGGTTAGAATTACTGTTCATGTTGATTTGCAACATTCCTGAATCTGAATCCAGTAATTAATTTGTCCAAGGCAGAGTTTTGTATTCACATAATAAACATGTTTCTAGTCAAAATAAGTTTGTTTTTTTCATCAAGATCCTAAAAAATCAAAACAAGAAAATTTATTTAAAAGTTTGCTATATTTTTAAGCTTTATGAATTATCAGAAGGGATCAGGAGTTAAATGATCTATAGCAAAAATGTTTTCCTCTTGGCTTTCAGGTGATCAGGACCACTGGTTTTATGAAAGGCCTGTTTGAAGAAAATGAAATGAAATCTGATAATGTAAAGGTAAGTTGATTCCTCTTTGTTACTCTTGAAATGATTTATGTTTGGTTATACTGTTGAGCCTGAAAGTGTGTGTGTGTGTGTGTGTAGAGTAATCGAACACTCTGCCTGACACACACTGAGAGTGAGAAGGTCTGGCAGTGAATGACAGTGTAGTTGTCAAGGTGTTAAAACTCACGCTAACTGATCCCAATGAGATCTTCTCAGCTTACTTTAGATAAAGGATTATCTAAACAACTGCTACTTTATGTTTAACAGTCTACTCAAAAGAAATCGGAGCCATGTCCTAATGGTTTTTGGCTTTGTCAGATTCTCTGGATTCTTTTAAACTTAACCACTTATTAAATTTAGATTCCATGTATGAATGGATATATATATACATTACACTGAAAACGTTTTCTTTAAATGAATGTATTTTTTTCTACATATTCTCATTTCTGAATAACTCACTAAATTATGTTATTATATGTTAACAATAATCCTAATTAGTTCAGTCACCGAATGAGAAATATGCTGGAATGATCAACTAACAGTGCAGAAATGTGTGCTGCCATCTTGCTAGGTGCTACACGGCATCATTAGCTGCTGCAGCAGAATATGGCTTTCTGGGGAAAACATGCTAAACTTAGCCACAAAGCCCAAAGTTTAGCCAATAATTGTTAACATGACTGGAACCTGAACTTCAAAGATGGTTGTATTACATTGTTATTTAAATAAAAAATATATATACTAGTCCAATCATAAACCTGTTTTATCTGTTTTTAAGGGTACATTTATATGCTACAGTAGTAAGCTGGTGATGATTCTCAGTCATCCAGGACATTATAAATTCAAAAATGTTCAAGACAAAAACAACTGGACTTTATTTGTGACAGAAGACGTTTCGCTCCTCGTCCGAGGAGCTTTCTCATTTCAAAGAGCAGTGAGTGAGGGGTTCAGGTTATAAGGAACAGAGGGGCCTCATCTGTGAATTAGAGTAACAAAGACCTTAAGAAACCCCTACTGTTAAGGTGTGAGTTGTAATTTGTCAATCTACATACGTATGTGTATCTTATCTCAGCCTTATACCTGAACCCCTCACTCACTGCTCTTTGAATTGAGAAAGCTCCTGGGATGAGGAGCAAAACGTCTTCTGTTACAAATAAAGTCCGGTTGTTTTTGTATTGAACATTTTTGAAGCTACAGTAGTAAATTATGACTGTACTTTGTATATACACGCATATACACTTCATTAATTAATTAATTTATTGCTTTTCCAGGATAAGGACTCAAAAATTGCCTTCCTACAGAAAGCCATCGATGTTGTGATGATGGTGACAGGCGAGTCACCGTCAGCAAAACCTGCACGAATTGTTGCTGGACATGAGCCTGAGAAAACCAACGAGCTGCTGCAGGTCATCGGCAGGTGCTGCCTCAACAAGGTACTGGTGGTTTAAACACACACACACTGTAAAACCTAAATAAAACCTTGACGCCTTCAGTGAAGTGTTCTGGAGGTATGTTTATGACTGTATATGTATATATCATACAATTCAGTGTTTGTTTTTCACATTAAAATGTAGTCCAGTGGAGAAAACTGTTCAGCAGACTCAGGGGGGACTTTGAAAAATTTTAATTAAATCCACAGAGATGGAGTGTAAACAGATGAGCTGATGACTGGGGACAGTTGTTTTTAATGAATCTATAAACAATTCCTGGTGATGTAAATATATTATTCGTATAGCTTATGCAATACATATTTACAATAAGAAACTTGTTTATATTTCTAATAATGATGGCACTTGTTGGTTTTTAATTTATTTGTGTGAAATATAGCCTTATGTGAATGAAGTAAGTGATTTATAAAGGCTTAGGGGATTGTCCTAATATATATTTTTTTAATAGTTGTTAGTTGTACCATACCATTTTATTTATAGAGCACTTAAAACAGCGACAAGGCCAACCAAAGTGCTGTACAGACAGAACAACAGGTAACACACAAAGCAAAATACAAAATGAAGTAAATCAGAAATATAGACATAAAAACGATGCAGATAATGACGACAACCAGTGTGGAGCGTACAGATTCAAAACATAGATCCTCTGGTGTTGAAAGCTACTGAATAGTAGTGAGTTTTTAAACGGGACTTGAAAACCGAGAGGGAGGGGGCCTGTCTGACAAGCAGGTAACTCGTTCCAGAGTCTTGGTCCTGCTACAGAGAAGGCCCTGTCACCTCTGCGCTGGGTTTGTTGTTGACAGTTGTCTTTTAGGACTGTTACACAAGTAATTATTTTTAGCCACGGTTATGTCCTTTCTTTTTTATTTAACTCGAGCATTAAAACCATTGACAGTTTTGACATGGTTATTAATTCAGTTCAATTCAGTTTATTTATATAGCACCGATTTACAACAAAGTTGTCTCAGGGCACTTTACAGGAACATTCACATACATAAAAAGCCAATTAATAAAGTTCTCTAAGGAAGGAATCCAGCAGACTCATTGAATCTTCACTTTGTCGTAGTCTCCCATCCTGAGCAAGCACAGTGGCAACAGTGGAAAGGAAAAACTCCCTTTTAAAATGAAGCAACCTCCAGTAGAACCAGGCTCAGGACAAGCGGCCATCTGCTTTGACCGGCTGGTTTGAGAGGACAGGAAGGAGAGACAGACGAACATAGAATGACAGGTCCAGATGTGGGTGCAGGTGAACCTGAAAGACAAAAACACATCAAGCATAGAAAAAACAATTACAAATACAAAACAAGTTGAGCAGAGTAAGTAAAGACAGTAACAGCGTGAAGAAATGTGGTCAGTTTGTCCTCCAGCAGTCTAAGCCTATAGCGGCATAACTAAGGGATAGCTCAGGAAACCCAAGCCGACCTTAACTATAGGATTTATTAAAAAGGAAAGTCTGAAGCCCAGTCGTAAAACTGGACAACGTGTCAGCCTCATGGACAGAAACTGGAAGTTGGTTCCACAAGAGAGGAGCCTGATAACTGAAAGATCTTCCTCCCATTCTGCTTTTGGAAACTCTAGGAACCACAAGTAAACCTGCAGTCTGAGAGCAAAGTGCTCTGTTAGGAACATATAAAATAATAAGATCTTCAATATAAGATGGAGCTAAATTGTCGAGAGTGATTATTACTCCCCAAATTTACATTTTTATTCATATTAATACTTAGATTTTTTTTCTTCAGATTAGACATTGTTCGCATTTTATTAAAATAAGAGTGTAGTTCATTTGTGTTATCCATCCATCCACCCATTATCTTTTTATCTAGTTCTTCCAATTTGGGTCACAGGGGTCGCCGGTGCCCATGTCCAGCAATCACTGTGCGAGCGGCGGGGAACACCCTGGACAGGTCTTCAGTCCATCACAGGGACAGAGACAAATAAGACAAACAATCATTCACTCTCTCACTCACACCTAGGGACAATTTAGAGTTGCCAATCAGCCTAACATGCATGTTTTTGGTCTGTGGGATGAAACCGGAGTACCCGGAGAAAACCCACACATGCACGGAGAGAACATGCAAACTCCACCTAGAAAGGCCCCCGGACCGGGATTTGCACCGGCAACCTTCTCGCTGAGAGGCAGCAGCTCTACCAGTTGTGCCACCGTGCTCATTTGTGTTCGATTCTTTTTTATGTTGTTTTGCACTTATTATGGCCAAGAGAATTTAGTCTCTCTGAATTTCATTATAAATCTTTAACGACAATAAGATACCTGAACCTGAAAGACAACTCGTCAGATGCTGCTACATGCTGGCACGCAATCCGAATAAAACACTTTTTTATTATTGTAAAATTTAAAGAACATGTAACAGTAATTAGTGCTCTTGCTCTCCTTGTTCATTTTTGTTGCACACTTCATTAGAGAAGCTTTTACCAGTCAGGGCTTTTTTCTGTAATCCACACACCATCCTTGTTGAATATTTAAACCACATTCATTTTTTTAATCAACAAATGATTTTCTTTTATTTGCTCTGCAGCTGTCCAGTGATGAAGCAGTAAAGCGAGTGCTTGCTGGAGAAAGAGTGGACCTAAAAGCCTCCAGGTCCCAGGGCAAGGAGAACAGGGAAGGACGTGAACGCCAGCTGGATAAAGAGGTGAGTCCTCTTCCTGCTAGAATCTTTGTTGTACAAACTGCAGTCATACATTTATTTTGTTTGTTGGTCATTTTTTTTTAGCATTTAATTTTTATGAGCTAGTCCCTTTAAGATTTCTGTTGATGAATGATTTAAGGAAAAGAAAATGATAACGGAGCGCAGCGGCAGCCGGGAGCAGAAGGACCCAGACAAACCCAAAGATCAGGAGAGTCGGCACAGAGACGGAGATAAAGAACTCCAGCGTGACCGTGAGCGATCTGACCGACGCCACCGCAGCGAGCAGGACCACCAAACCAACGATCGCGACAAAGACAAGAGTCGAGACAGGGAGCGAGACAAAGGACGTGCCAGGGACAGAGAGAAAGACCGGGAGAGGGATCGAGAAAGAGACCGAGAGAAAGACAAGGAGAAAAACCGAGATAGAGATTCGCACAGAAACCGGGAACAAGACAAAGAGAAACGAAGAGACAAAGACAGAGAGCGACACAAAGACCGGGACGACAGAAACAAAAGTGGAGGGAGTGGGAATGACAAGGTATGCCTCCTAATCCTACTCGTATCCTAAATATTAGTCATAAAAATGTTATTTACATGAACTGTGTATACATTATCAGGTCAGAGAGTCAGAAGAACCACATCAGAAATCCAGTCCTGAGGAGCAGAGTAACAAATCAGCCAAAACTGTGCCAGCAGTGAGTTCTTTCTTTTATAGTTTGAATTGTTTACTGAACGGACTTCTGGATACACTGTAATAAACTCTTATTTAAATGTTATTTTTCTTGCAAGGACCCAAAACCAGATGAAGAGGTAATAAAACTTATAAATGACAAGTGGAGCAAAGGCCTGAACATTCAGAACAAATCTGAATTTATTGGTGCAATACATTTAGCATGGCTATTAGCTCAGGTTTTGGTATATGGGCTTAAGTGTTGAACAGCCTTTAATTTATCTTTTTTATTTTGTTGTGAATAATGCAACGTTTACTGAAATTATACCATCGCGCTCTCTGTCTGTACAGCCCACAGAAGTAGATGAGAACCAGGTGAGAATGTTACTGTAAACTAGAGGAGTCAACGTTTGCACACACGTGTTATTTAAAATGTAAAAAATAGGTCTATGTAGACTTTTAACTAGAACAGGAAGACTTAAAGTTTGTAATGATTAAAGTTGTTCATTTGGATTTGGGATGGTCAATTTAAGGTTGGAAGTTGTGTGATGAGTTTTCCGTCAAGTATAAAACAATTTCTGTCATCAGTAACACAACGAGATGAATTAAATTACACTTCTCAGTGCATAGTTGATCTTTGCTGCCATATTTATTAAAGAAGGCGCTTTCCTTGAAGGAAAGCATATCGTTCGCCACCTTACGTATCAACGTTTTAAACAAAGATGTTGCATGATTCGTTAGCCCTCGGAGACGGTGTTGAAGTCGAGTCTCCGCTACTACCACTCCAGGTTTCAGCACAGAATTTATAAAATTGACTTAGTTTAATTGTTTTTTTTTTTTTCAGTGTAATCTTTTGTGAACTTTCAATACTTCTGCATGAAATTCCAGTCCTGTTTCTTGTTCCTGGACTAAACTTTGTCTTTTCAATATCGAGTCTTTTTTTTTTTTTTTTTTTTTTTTTTTTACATTTAAACAAATGTGTATTTTGTAAAATAACAGTGACGGATGTTGAGTTGAAAGTTGTACAGAGCAGGACCGGGTTGTGTTTTACTTCCTGTTTCCTCATCATCTTTAAAAACTACCTTTCTTAATTGGCAGACTAACAGTTCAACAAGAATACCTCGTCCTTCATCGGCCAAAGGACAGAGGCGGAAACCCAAGACTATGGGTCAAGGTAATGCCTACTAACACCTTATTATTTTCACATACATTCTGAAGATTGATCCTGTATCGTTGACAGGGTTTATAGTAAATCTAGGCTGATTTTATAGTATTTTATTTGCTTATAATTGTTAGAAAAATGGACTACTGGTACATATTTTTGTATGAATGCTCCAAAGAGACAGTTAATTAATCTCTTCATGCTGAAACTGTGCATTATTTTTATAATGACTCTCTATTTCTATCTCTCCCTCTCTCTCAAAAGATGACTCAGACAGTGAAGGAGGTGAGAGTTTTCGTTCACTCCTATGAGTGTTCTTGTACAGAAAAATACAAAAGCATTTTTCGAATTCAAGTAATATTTATTTCCATGCTGTCAACTGGTTTACATTATCTGAAAGATGACTTGAGCATATCTGTGGTCATGTGCAGTAATGCCGATAGATTGACTTGACAATGTCCTCACGTGTTTATCAGACCAAATCACGGTTCTGTAAGTTTAACACTCTGAAGGAAATGTTAAAGACCACATAGAAACAAGATTGTTGTTGTGAGGTACAGGTGTGTTAAAGGATAAGACAGGAGACAGAGGAGAGGTACAGGACCGGTACTGCCACCTCACCCAGTCAGTCTTTCCAGACTGTCCAGATTTCTGTATAAGATAAAGAAAAATGCCGTAACCCACTGAATGACTCAGAGTAATTAAGAACAGCAATTTTTGTCTGTTCAAGCTCAGAGCAAGTCAGTCAGGTTTATTTGTAAAGCTCTGGATTGGAGACAATGTCATGGGCTTTACTGGTCTTCATCTTCCATACCCAACCCAAATTGGGCTGGGTGCGCAGGGGGCACGCCTGGATAAAAGATGTTTGCAAGAAGTAACAAAAATCTCATGGTTTAGGAATTTCAGACAAGTCTAAAGCTAAGTTTATGAGTATAAAAATGTTAGCATGTTTTTTTTTGTTTTTTTTGTTACAAAGCCAGTTTGTAAAACTAAATGTAGCTGGTCTAAGTCTGTTGAGATTAATCTCTTCTAAAATACATTAAACAACAGAGCTTGCTTAGTAACTGGGATACTAGAAAGTTCCTGGAGAAACTTTGATGGGGACTGCCACACTGCTTCCAATTTAAACATTTATTTGATGGTAATATGTGTTTGAGTTTGCGCTCATCGACCACTATACCAAATTTCAGCTCAATGTGGCAAAAATTCAAGGAGTTATAGTCATTTTTTCTTTTAGCTAAGGCAGCCATCTTTGATTTTTGATTTGGATTCAGTATTTGATGGGAAACATTCTCCGCTATCATCACATCAAATATTAGTATCACTAAAACTGGCTGATTTATAGTATTTTTTTCATTTTTAGCTCTGGCGGCCATCTTGGATTTTTGATATGCAGTCAGAGTCTATTAGGGATCATTTTCAGCTGCCAATACACCAAATATCAGCTGAATAGTTCGAAAAATGGCTGAGCTATTATATTTTTTCCCTTTTAGCGAAGACAGCCATTTTGGATTTGGAGTTAGTATGTGATGGGGAACATTCTCAACTACAACCTCGTCAAATTGCAGCTCTATATGTGTAAAAATAGCTGAGTTAAAGCCATTTAAATGTAGCTTTGGTGGCCATCTTGAATTTTTAGATTTGAATTCAGTATTATATGGGCCTTTCTAGGCAGTCCCTAATAAATACATAAAGTTAAGAAACCCTTGTCATGTGGATAATAATAGGTGTCTGCCTTATACTAGGCAGTCCTCAATTAAAAATGGTGAAATATCAAATTCCATTACATTTTTTTACCAAATTTTTTAACTTTTTTTTAACTTTGGCCATCATGAATGGGTGTGGTCAGATAAATGCTCCAACTCTTACGAAGGTGCCGCCAAGTCTCTATGAGTTTACCTGTGTATCAGGGGAAACTTTAAACGGTGCAGAGGCAAGATTTTGAAATAATAATTTGACTTTTACAGGCACATGAAGGGTTGGAGGGAATTTTAAGATGGTCATCTAACTAGAGCTTTTATTATTGTTTTTGTGTTCGATTAGGTTAATCCTGGTTCTTACAAAAAGTACGAAAACAAAAACAACTCTGCTTCTATTCTGTAGCTGAAGGCGTTTTGCTTCCCATCTGGGAAGCTTCGTCAATTCAAAAAACTGTCTGGAGTGGAGATCCAGGCTTTAATATAAACTCGTGAGATGCCTGGGTACCGGTATATAAAGTTAAATAAAGCGTGGAACTCCGCTCACCTCAACTCTTCTGATCAGAGCTGATCACTTGTTCGGTGTTTCGCTCACAGATGGAGATGCTCTTTTAGCCCAGAGAGCCGTCCCGCAGGAAAACGGAGACACTGAAGGACCCTCAGTACCACCAGACACAACTTCCAGGTGTGCAACGCTGTAGCTGTTACTGAGTTTGGGAGTTCACTTTTAAGAGGCACAGTTTGTGTTTTAAATTAGTTTTTATCTGATGTAAATGTATAACTGTTGTTTTAAAAACTGCCTTTTTCAACGTGTCCTGCTCACATTTACCTGTCAAACATCTGTATTAAACTTTACCAAGCTCCTAATAATGCAATATGTAAAACACTTGGCTCAGACGGATCACTTTTTGTTTGGATACAATCAGAACAATGGTAATTCCAGTTTTGTTGTTGTTGTATTGTAATATTATTATTTTTAGTCAGTTTTATTTCTGAACTTGTCCCATATTTTTATGGACGCTCTGATAGGTTTTACAGTTTAAAGACTGTACCATCCTGTTCCTCAGCTGACTAATTGTTTACAACTGGCTGGTTAGGCAGCTCTTATTATATTCTGAATGTTGGCGAGATCACAACAATTATCCTCCCAGAGTAAGAACTGTTTAATGTGGTTATAACAAATCTCATTTCTGCATAACACTATGTTGTTGTGTGTTACACAAACCATTAAAGTAACAGCTCGTAAAATGGAAAACCAGTTTAGGTCTGAAACCAGCTGCTGGATCAAGAAATTAAATTTTTTTTTTTCAATGTAGTGTTTTATTTATTTATTTTACAGACTGATATCGCGGCCAAGCAGCGCCCGCCCAGCTCCACCTCGGATCAGGAGGCAGGAAAGCCACACTGATGTGACCCCAGCTGAGAGGTGACATCATCGTTTTAAATATTTAATGATACCGATGTCTAGAAACGACTATTGACTTCTTCTCTTAGTGAATTTACAACGCCACTTATGAAAATTTTGAGAAATTGTGAAAATGTAAAACAAGAAAAGGATGAAATTATTTTTAAATCTCAAAAACCCACATTTTATCAAATGCTGAAACTAAGAAATTATACGTTTTTTTTGGGGGGGAAGAGGACGATATTTGATATTGTAAAGCATCCCCTCTTATTTTAGTATGCATTCTTGGTGCCTTTCCTTATGTGTAAGCTGTCTGCACTAAAGCCACTAGTGCACCCCTATACCATGAGAGAGGCAGGCTTTGATATTCTGAGCTAATAGTGTGGATGGTCCCTCTCATCTTTAGTACAAAGAATGTGGTGTTTGTGATTTCTAGAAAGAATTAAATGTTTTAATTTGTCTGACCACAGGACAGTTTTCTTCTTTGCCTCAGTTAATTTGAAATGAGCTTTGCCCAGAAAAGTCAGAGTCAGAGTCAGAGTTTCTTTATTGTCATTCGCACCTCATGTGGTACATGTGGTGGAGCGAAATTATGTACACTGGGTCCCAGTTACATCCAACAATAAAATGTATAAGAAAAACAGTAATAACATCTAAGATATGAACTAAGAAAAACATCAACTAAATATACACTAAGCACTCATAACATAAAACATTGAACATCAGCACAAACATGAACATGAGTCTGTGAGCAGATGTGCACGCATGAACACATCATCATTGAAACAGATCAGCAGCAACATGAAACAGATCAGCAGCAACATGATATGGTTTTTCACAGTGATTATTCTAGTTAGAGATTCATGAGTCTAACAGCCTCAGGGTAGAAGCTGTTCCTCAGTCTAGTGGTTCTACACTTAATGCTCCTTAACCTCCTTCCTGAGGGGAGTGGGGCAAAAAGTGTGTGTGCTGGGTGAGTGGGGTCCTTCATGATGCAGGTGGCCCTCTTCCTGCATCTGGAGGTGTAGATGTCTGTGATGGTGGGGAGGCTGATTCCAACAGATTTCTGTGCAGCCTTCACCACTCTCTGCAAAGCTTTTCTTTCTGCAGCTGTGCAGCCTCCATGCCACACATTGATGCTGGAGCACAGGATGCTCTCCACTGCACACCTGTAGAAGGAGGTGAGGACTGAGCTTCCCAGACCAGCTCGCCTCAGCCGTCTGAGGAAGTAGAGTCTCTGATGAGCTTTCTTGATCAGGCTGGTGGTGTTGTTGCTCCAGCTGAGGTTGTCATTCATGTGTACACCCAAGTACTTGTAGCTGGAGACCACTTCCACCGCAGATCCTCTTATGTTCAGGGGGGTGTAGGTGTTTTTGTTCCTTCTGAAGTCCACAATCATCTCCTTTGTCTTCTTCACATTGATGTGAAGGTTATTCTCTCTGCACCAGCTCTCCAGGTGTTCCACCTCTTGCCTGTAGCTGGACTCATCATTGTTTGTGATGCATCCCACCACCGCTGTATCATCTGCAAAAAGAGAAAAGACGGGAGCATTTCCAGATGGTGTTCACATCTGGCCTCTTCTTTGCATGATAGAGCTTTAAGCAGTATTTGTGGATAGTAAAGGGAACTGTGTTCACAGACAGTGACGAGTGGAAGTGTTCCTGAGCCCGTGCACTGATGTCCAGAACCAGACCTGTTTTTAATGCAGTGGCCCACCGTGTCCTTTGAGCTCAGAGGTTTCTACAGATTCCTGAAATCTTTTGATGTTATCATCTGCAGATGATGTGATATTTGAAGTCTTCCCAGTTTTCTGTTTAGGAACTTTATTCTGTTTTAGGTGTCGCTTTTACTAACTGTTGAACAACTGTCCATTTTTACATTTGATATATTCAGCCTCTAAAATGTTATTTTTATATTAAGTCTACATACTAGCCTGTTGAATTAACCTACTTTATTTACACTACTTACAATTAGATCTTTTTTCTTTTTTTTTTTTTTTGACCTGTCTTGTCTTTTAGATATGTGGCTGCCATATAAATTAAATTTCCTAACTTGTCTTCCAGAAATGGTCTAATTTCTTAGTTTAAACATGTGGTATATTTTCGATGTTCTATTGTAAATAAAATATGGATTTTGAGATTTATTGTTTTTATTTACATTTTACACAACATCCCAGCTTTTTCAAAATTGGAGCTGTTTAGATTGTACTTCTTTAACTGTTGTTAAAGATCCAGACTATCAATTGATACAGAGTAAACACACTTCGTAACAGGAGCAGTGACTGAAAGTAAAAATAAAACATATTTTTCCACATTTCATTCATGTCCTTAAGGTTATCAAGTGCCAAGACCTCAGCACCTGTCATATTAGATGGGAAGAAGCTGCCAGGGGATGAGGAGGATGAAGATGAGCACTTCCTTGTGGAGGAAGCAGCCCCCCTACCCCTTGATGTTCCTGAGATCATGAGAGTAGGTCACATGAACATCATGATCAATACAAATAGCATAAAACAGATTATAGACTTTTGTTAATAATCATGTTGCAGGAATCCGGACAAGAAATGGACGGTGAAGAAAACCACGGTACACAGAAGCATTTCTTTACACTCTTCATTTTTCAAAAACGCAACAGCTTTTCTTCATTTCTTGTGAAAATACTAAATTTGGTGGTAGAAACAATTTTTTATTGAATTTTTTGCTGCAGGTGGACTCGTGAAAAAGATCCTCGAGACCAAAAAAGACTACGAATTGGTGCCGTCCTCCCCAAAATCTAAAGAACAGGTATGCGCTCCAGAGAAAATAGTCATTCTTTCCATTTCCACTAGAGGGCAACATTAGTCCAGTTCTCCAAACTTAGTGTGTGTGACTAAATACTCAGGTTAATGTCTCCACCAGTTTCTTTCTGGGAAGTTTGCTCCCAGGGAACACTTTTTAACCACAGACGTAGTGCGACGCTGGCTTTTATCAGCAGAACCATGTAAACAAATGGAGTGGAGAGGTGTAATTGCTGTGCCTTGAAACTGCAAAAATGTTCCCTTTCAGTGGAGCTGAAGGGCTAATAACCAGAGTATGCCCCCCCCAAAAGACCACACGCAATTAATACACACATCTAGATGTCTGGAGCAAAACAAGCCTTTTTTAATGGCTTGCTCAACATTTTAGGCATTTTAAATCTTTATCGTTATAGACTTTCCTGCTCTCGGCACAATGAGAACATGTTTCAAGTCATGGGAACAAGATTTTAGAGTTTGTTAATCTTGAAACTACTGCTCAGTAAATATTCAGTACACAGCAAAATATTATTATTACCCTCTAACAAAAGGTGAAGGTGGACGATGATGCTTTTGCTTGTGTCTGTCCATGTACTGTCCATCTCGTCAACCTGATGGTTTTTATTGAAGCTTGCAGAAAGTCATCATTAGATGAACTTCAAAGGTCATGCGCAATAATCCAGGTAAAAATCCAACAATGTTCAGTCAGGTCATCTGGACGGTTTCTCTTTTTACTGAGACGTTTCGTCCTTCATCCAAAGGATTTCATCAGTCCGAGGAGCCACAAACAAACTGAGTCCCACAAGCAGCACACTCCCGTAATGGAAAAACCCAGTTGATAAGATGGTTTCTGGGGCCAACCCTCTCCACCATCAACCCCTCTGAGGCAACCATACCAAAGTGGTTTTTTTTCCATTATGGGTGTGTGCTGCTTGTGGGACTCCGTTTGTTTGGTGGCTCCTCGGATTGATGAAGTCCTTTGGATGAAGAACGAAATGTCTCAGCAAAACACAGAAACCATCCAGATGACCGGACTGAACAGTGTTTGATGAACTTATTAACTTTTGGAGGAAAAACCAGTTCAAGATGGTCTCCACACAAAAAAAACGCTGTAGATTATTGGTTTTTTTTTACTGATTTTGTGCTAAAAGTTAGTAAGGGAGTAGCTGAGAGTCATTCAAAACACACACTTTGAGCACAGTCTCTTGCATAAGAATGTGCATAACAATATTTTCATCACCTGACCAAAATGACTAACTGTCGTTTTTCATCATAAGATGATTTTATTCTTAAACTCTAGCATGAAAGGTGGTGGGCCATATGCATTTTCTTCAAGGAATAGTGGACCTTTTCATCTCTTTGATATTATTGATGATGACACATTAATGCCATTGTTTATAGATTCCTCTTTGTAAGCCTTTGTCTAAGCCAAAGGGTGTGCTCGTTCATCAGTATTTGGAGTATAAAACTGTTTGAAGCCCACAGTTTGGTCTGAACTCCGTGGTGTGAGGTGGTGTATGCCGTCTGCTTTGGGTGGTCCACTTCACTCAAGCATGATCTCCCTGCATCCCATCCTAGCTGACCACCCTGACTGTGATGGATGCACTGTTTTGGACTGTCACTCGTGCAGAAAGGACCCTGATCTATTTCTTCCTCATTGCAACCTCAGACATCATCCCTCATAACTCGCATCTAAAGCTGACAAGCCAAAATTGCTTGTCCGGAATTCACAGACACAAGATTGAACAATTATCAGTTTGTGCATGTGGGTTTGTTGTTTATTTATATCCAAGTACTTCGATCTCCAGTTTGACTGCACATGCGAACAGACGTGACTCGATTGTAAAAGAAACAGCTCTTTGAGTAACACGAGCACAGCCCTGTAGAGATTATCCTAATTTTCTTAATGCAGCCTCCTCAATTTTCAGGGCCTCCAAGCCTTCGTTTCAGGGTATCATGGCATCCTGTTAGTCTGTAGGTGAAGCTTAGAGCAGGTATGTCTGTTCAGAGATGCTGTGAACTCTTTACGTCTCCCCTCAATCATGACTGGCCTCGCCTGGTCAGCTGCATAAGAAGCTATAATGACTTCCTTCCTGACATGAAAGGGTGGCGAGGTCAGCTTAATGGAGCAATTTCTCTCTTTTTTTTAATTGTAATAACAGTAAAACACAGACAAAAATGTAAATATTGAGCTTCCTCATTCTGTTTGATTTAATAATGGCCTATATTTACAGAATGAGTCATAACCAACTCAGATTTGATATCATAATTAAAAGGTTAGCCTTTGAATAATTGTGTATAAATAATTATTTTACTCTTCCTAATTCTGTTCTTTGTCATTCCTATACAGCCATCACCCTTTGTGCGACTGAATCTTTGCTGCGTATTAATGGGGGTGACCCCTCATCCTGACGCGCTAGGCAGAATTGTATATTATTTCAAGATGGTTCCTTTTTTATTTAGACAGAAACTGCCCTTTGCAACAGCTGCGTTTTCATAAGAATTTTTGTGTACTCTTTCTTTCCCCCCGTCCCCCGTCTCTTTACCCCATCAAATTAGCCTTGATGAAGGGCTGTAATGTAAAAATAAACCCTGCGGCACACAAATGGATAGCTGTTGAGTGAGAGTCACGGAGGAGACGGGCCAGAATACTCTCTGCAGACTTGTCAAGAAAATAAATACCCCTCTCTGCAGACCTTTGTGTCTTCATAAACATCCAGCGATCCTTTTTTTTTTTTTTTTTTTTTTGTGGAAACAAGGAAATGACCCAGCGACATTGGGTTAGTCATGTTACTTCTGCAGATATTGACACATTAGAGGATTTTTGTTCAACTTTAAGAGAAGCCCATTTAATAAAAAGCCATTTCTTCATGAGTTTTATCTCTTCAGACCACGTTTCCATTTAGTTTTAATGCTGTAAAGTTTATGGTCTGCTAGAAGAATCTCGGTTCATCAGGGTGGTGATCTCCTTTGTCTCCCCAGGGGGCCTAATGTGACCTTCTTACAACATCCTGTAACCTCAGAGCTTCTCTCCTCACTTCACTGACTCTGAACTATTTTTATTATCTAGTTAGTCGTTTTATGAAAAACAGTGAGGAAGCCAATAAACAATGTCCAGAGCCAGTTTTTACTCCATGCTCCACTCCCTGCTCAGCTTTCAGACCGTTCTTCTTCAGGAACACCCTGTAAAAACTCTGAGCGTGCGTTTGTCCAAGTGGACACCAGCAGCCAGAAGATCTGGAAAAGTCATTAGTTGTGGTCGTTGATGATCAACGATGTACTGAAACAAAAAGACAGTTTGTCATTGCGTGCTGCTGAAGGTGAAGGGTCGATAGTGTCAGTGCCAGTTTATTTATATGGCACTTTACAAACAACAAAAGCTGCACCAAAGTGCTTTACAGCAGAGAAAGACAATACAAAAAATGATAACTAATAATAATTAAATACTCAAAGGAGTTGAACTAATAAAAAACATTCAAAGCGTAACCCAAGAACAAAACGATAACTTACTAAGAGCTGTTTTTAAAACTTTGCCATCAACTATTGGACTTAGTTAGCAAATTAATTCATGAACCGCTGAATATATTTTAAGAGGCGGCTGTGGTTGAGTGGTTGGAGCAGTCGTCCTCCAATGCAAGAGTTGGGGGTTTGATTCCACCAACAGTCACATGCCCAAGTGCCCCTGGGCAAGACACTGAACCCCTCATTGCCTGTGATGTGTGTCCCATCGGTGTATGAATGTGACGAAGCACTGATTACTCTTTGAACAGATCTAGTAGAGTTCTGTATCAATGGGTAAATGAGGGCACAGATTATATGTGAAGCGTTTTAAGTGTCTTTATAAGGTAGAAAGGTGCTATATAAGTACAGTCCATTTACCATTTAATGAAACTTTCCGAAAGTAACCACTTGTTGCACATCTACAGCTAATTACCATACTTGCCGCCGTACACGTCGCACCGCCGTATAAGTCGCATCGGTCCAAATATGTCTAATAAGTTGGAAGAAACATTAATAAGTCGCTTCGCTGTATAAGTCTCATCTATTATGCGTCACCGCTGACGTGTCGTGTTTGTTACGTGTCACCAATGACCACCCGTAAATACGTGCCGGTGTTGTGCCAAAAATTGGTTGGCTGCCAAATGGCGGCCTCGGGAGCATGCACGGTAGGACTTTAACAAGAATGTAACAAGATCAACACATAAAAGCAATTATTTGTTTGCTCGAAACTATAGCAAAGGTGTGTCTCCGTTGAACTTTTCCTTAATAAATGCACTTTAATGGTCAAATCAGCTGCATTTCTCCTGGGCAGCGAAATGCAGCTGATTTGACGTTTGCTCCAGGACTTCCAGAGCGAGACGAAGATGGCTTTTTATGGCAAGCCAAGTGTGTCATTAATAGCCACTTTTACCTATTAATGAGACACTTGGCTTGCCATATTAGTCAAGGGCCCTCTAGTGGCTGAAAATGGTAGTGTTCAATATTTTCCATGTCAGAATTAATTAAATCGTCAGATCTCAGCCAAAAATTGCCTTATAAATATGGGAAAAAACATATATTAGTCGCTTCGATGTATAAGTTGCAAGACTTGCAAATTTATGCAAAAAGGTGCGACTTATACCGCAAAAAATTCAGTAACCTTTGGAGATGACCCTTTTTAAAATAGTCACCACAGCTAATCGATTTTATCCAACAGAAAAATAGTTGTAGCTATTATTCATAATCCAGCAAAGCTCAGTCAGGTCATTTGGACTGTTTCATCTTTTTTAGTTGAGACATTTCGCCCTTCATCCAAAGGACTTCATCAGTCTGAGGAGAAAAAGAAAAACGGTTCCGAAGAGCTGAATTAACTTTGTTGGATTTTGACCTGGATTATAGAGCATGAACAATATATATTCATAATATATTTACAGATATTGAGTTTAAATTTAATGAAGTAGTAGCTAAGAGTTATCCTCAACACTTGCACTGAAAGCTAACACATCACATGAGACATAATATAATAATAATATCATTTAATATAATAATAATAATAATATCATTTACAAGCATAAGATGATCTTAGTTTGAAACTGTGACATGAACAGCATGTGCAGTGTACACTTTTTTCCCTGGAATACTAGGTCTAGTTTTAGTTTCAATGTTTACTTCATACAGCTTGATGGTTTCAACATTGTGCTTTGAGTTAATTGTTTCTTTAGACCTTTTTTATTCATGAACAAACTGCTTCCTTTGCCATCACTGCAACGTTCTTAAAAGGCCTTTCAACTCATTGTAGATCTTAGTATTTTGACCTAACTTAATGTTATAGAATAATAGTAATTATCATAAAAAAGAAGAAAAAAGTTTTGAACAAGTCTCTTTCTAAAAGAAAATAGAGAACCTGTGTCCTGAATTTCTGTTTTCCTAGTTAATGACACCCTAAAGGTTGCTATAGCATCAACAGTTTCTCTGCTTGAGTTCCATTTTTCTTGTCAAAGGATACTTTGAAGAATGTTTTTCTTTTCCCCAGAAAATCCCCAAAAGCAGTCTATAAATCACATCTTAGGACACAATTCCTAATGAAGGAAATTAGGCGTGTGATGATGGGGTGAATTTCACACTGAACCGTTCCTTCGAGTGTTTTGTGTGCAGCAGCATTTTCATTCTCTTGTAAATGAAACGTGACGGCAGAGTTTTTAGTTAAAGTTTAAAAAAAATCCCCACAACAAATATGTTGCTGTCATTACACATGTTGTCCTGATATGTCAGTCTGCAAGGAAATGCTTTGGATACAAAACTGAAATTTGGGGTTCTTTTATTTTTATTCTATGTTTCTTTCAGCATCACCTCATCAGGTCCCACCCAATCCCTCCTACCCCCCCACCCCCGTGGTCACCACGTCTAAATATTGTTGTGTGATCTGGGCGAGAAAAGGAAATCTAGAGGTGCGCAGGTCTTGTAGACCCCAACAGAGACCTCCGTAAAGCTGTGATTTATATCTACCAAGACAGAGTGCACACGAGCAAGGGGTTATGTTTTCACACCAAGTTTTTTATTTTCCAACAAGAGCCAGACGGGAGGGAGTGGGAGGGGGCTGAAGTAGCAATGGGACAGCAAACAGAACGAAGCCGTGAGTTCTGTCTAGGCCATGTAGACCAAAACCACAGCTAGGTCGAATGAGCCATAGAGTATTTGTCTAGCTGCAGGGTTCATGGCACCCAGTGGAAAGCCACCCACCTTGTCGGGGTGTGCAGGGGGGGGGACCACAGAGCTGAGGCATTTCAACCTTCACACTCTCAAACTCGGGAGTCAGAAATGTGCGCTTGCTTCCTGAATAGAAATGGAAGCAAACATTAATAAGATAATTTCTACAGATTAGTCTGTGTGCTCAAGCTGCCTGTCAGGACTTGAATTTATTCACTGTTTGATTTATTCCACGAGCTGCTTGATAATTAGGGCTTAAATAAGACGTTATTACATTAAGACGTTATTAATTTTAAGAAAAAACTCCTGTCTAATTTTCCACAAGTCTCTTAAGATCTTAGAAAGCCTATAATCAAGGGCAAAATTAAAAAATATATATGTTTTTCATTTTTGTCACCTTTTCTCTTGTACTGAAGGTATTTTACCACAGGTCATCAAAACAACAACAAAAAGAAACATTTGCTTATTTGATCATAGTCAGGTTTCATTCAACCTTTATTTATACAGGTTAGTTCTACACCTCAAAGTTTGACTGACTCTTTTCCGCTTAAAACAGAAGACCAAAAGATAAAAATTTTATTTTTTATCTTCAAAGTCTACAAAAATCACTATGTGAACTTGGCAATGAGTTTGTTCTGTTTCTAAATAAATGCACAGCAGAGACTCTTCCTCTCAGCACGTAGCTGCAGAGGCTGCAGAAGCTGCGTTCACCACACGGCTTGATTGACGCAGCGTGTGGTCGTAGCACCTGCTATGTTTGTTTAAACTGCTGCCACACAGACGATTTAAAGTGGTACGGACGTCTTCGCTTTTAATTTTGCCAGAAAAATTCACAAGACCTTTTATTTATTTACTTTTTTTGTGGTTTGCTTCGACAAGAAACTTTGTGACATTCTTGCGATTTCTCCCTCCACTCCTGTTGACTTGATAAGGAAAGGTTCGTCTTTTATGCCAAGCGTAGCAGTTTCCATGACACATGGTGTGTTTTGAAGGGGAAGCTGTCATTTAGGTTCCACTCCACTCCCCGTATGGATTCTGCTGCCTCGTGGGGACAGGTGCTCCCATCTGCGGGGTCAAACGGTATAATTTGGGCCCCGTGTTGAACTTGAAATGAGACAGAAGTGTAATAGTTGTTACTCAATACTGTAGTAAAATAACCCCACTGCCACAGCCGGTTACTAAAATAAACAAGACCAAGACTGTGGGTGTGGGTTTGTGTGTTTCACTGTGTGCTTCGTCGTATTCTTTGGTTCTGTTTGTAAGTAGGTGTGTATGTATGTGTCTAGGTTTGGAGTACTGAGTACTTTCACCACACATACACACTTCCAGGCTTCCAGCTGAGCAAACATCTTTGGGTTTGCTTTCTGCCAAGGGAGTTCCTTTACTGATACGTTCCCCTCCCTTTCTCCATCAAGGGATGGAGTGTAATTGGGATACAGCTAACCTCCACTCCTCTTCCTCCTCCCCCTCCTTCAGTGGCATGCCATTCACTGCTAGCAGTCAGCCAGTCCTCCTACATTAGCCAAGACAATTCAGCAGCATGTTTGATCTTTGTATGCACAGCTAGCTTGGTAGAATTCCTCAATAACCTTTTTAGCCTTGAAATCTTAAACCACAAAGTATATCCTTTCTCTGGTTCTGGTTCTGGGCATCTGAAACCTCTCTGGCAAAGACAGAATTTCTAAAGAGAGTTTATATTTTAGTCTACAGCCACACAAGAGATTTCTGTGTTCTCACAGCTGTTTGATAGATTTATGTGAGAAATGTTGTCTAACGACATCATCTTTAATAAAAATAAATAAAGATTATAACACGCTATATGGTATTTTATTTTCAGAGTCAGAGAGATTTATTTGTCATTCGCATCCCATGTGGTACATGTGGTGGAACAAGATTATGTACACAGGGTCCCAGTTACATCCAACAATAACAATGTAAAAGAAAAACAGTAGTAAGATCTAAGATATGAACCAAGAAAAACATCAGCTAAATATACACTAAGCACTCATAACATAAAAACATTACGTCGAACAGCAGCATGAACATGAGTCTGTGTGAGCAGATGAGCACTCATGAACACATCAACATGAAACAGATCAGCAGCAACATGAAACAGATCAGCAGCAACATGAAACAGATCAGCAGCAACATGATGTGATTTTTCACAGTGATTATTCTGGTTAGAGATTCACGAGTCTAACAGCCTCAGGGTAGAAGCTGTTCCTCAGTCTAGTGGTTCTACACTTAATGCTCCTCAACCTCCTTCCTGAGGGGAGCGGGGCAAAAAGTGTGTGTGCTGGGTGAGTGGGGTCCTTCATGATGCAGGTGGCTCTCTTCCTGCATCTGGAGGTGTAGATGTCTGTGATGGTGGGGAGACTGACTCCAACAGACTTCTGTGCAGCCTTCACCACTCTCTGCAGAGCTTTTCTTTCTGCAGCTGTGCAGCCTCTATGCCACATGTTGTCTAGATACAATCATGCCTACTTCTGCTTTTTGGAAATACACCTAGTCTAAACAGTGTTCATATCTACCTACGTTTCAGCTGCAACATTGCACATTGAGGACATTTTGCTCTCACAACAAAAAATACCATCCATCCATCCATCCATCCATTTTCTTTACCCGCTTATTCCATTTTGGGTCACGGGGGTCGCTGGTGCCCATGTCCAGCAATCACTGTGCGAGGGGCGGGGTACACCCTGGACGGGTCGCAAGGCCATCACAGGGCCACATAGAGACAAACGAGACAAACAACCATTCACTCTTTCACTCACACCTAGGGACAATTTAGAGTTACCAATCAGCCTAACATGCATGTTTTTGGACTGTGGGAGGAAACTGGAGTACCCGGAGAAAACCCACGCATGCACAGAGAGAACATGCACAAAAAATACCAAATAAACTAATTTATAAATACATTTACACATAAAAGTAAAGAAAAATGCAGGTGCACGGGACCAAATGACTAGAGCTGAGCACCGACCTTGAATACTGGAAGTAGCTATGAAGGTTTTAGGGCATGTGATACTGGAGTTTTTGCATATATGCATAAATATATGTAAAAAGATCAATGTGGAGGCTTAAGCCCCGCCCACTCCCTTTGCGCACAATGATGGTGTCACATGTCACCTTTTAAAAAATGCTTTCAAATCTAATTACAGCTAAACTTATTAAATAAATTACAGTATTTGACCTTAATGCATCAAATAAATACATAAATCCAGAGTTAAAACATAAAGATAATTTCTGAGGTGTTTGTGTTTTATTATTATTATTATTATTTTACCAAGAACAACGTCTTGTTAATTTACACAAAGGGGCGGGACTTCAACCAAACATTGTGACAGCTTCACTTTAACTTTTTGTCTTCTTGTATAGAGTTTAGTCATTTAAAACATGTCTATGATTGAAGCATTAAAACATCTAAATCTGCTTCACAGGCCCTTTCCAAATATAAAGAGTCAGTAAAACTGTAAGATAAAGGCTTTTAATTGTTGACTGTAAGTTGAGCTTCAACATTTGTGTCTCCCATCCTTCACTTCTCAGTTCTTGCTGTCCGAACCTGCACAGAAGAAAGAGCGGCAAATGATGAGCAGGGAGACTGAGCGGCTTCGCGCGTCCATCCAGTTGGTTTGTCGCAGCTCCCTGCCTCTGGGGAAGATCATGGACTACATCCAGGAGGACATGGACGCCATGCAGACTGAGCTGCACACCTGGCGGCAGGAGAACAAGGAGCACGCACAGGCCCTGCTGCAGGAGCAGAGGTGAGGACGCTGCTCCGCAGGAAGAAGTTCTGCACCAACTCATTTACAGACCCACCTTTTTATCACCTTTACTCACGACTGCTTGACTACTCCATGTTTACCGTGCTTTCTAAAAGAAATACATTTAAATTTTTAAATTATAATTTCACATTTAGCAGCTATGAACTACAATTCACTTGTTTGCATTGTGGAGCATCTAACAACTTCATCCATCCGTCATCTTTACCTGCTTCTTCCTTTTCGGGTCACGGGGGTCACTGGTGCTCATATCCAGCAGTCACTGTGTGACATAGTACACCCTGGACAGGTCTCCAGTCCATCACAGGACCACGTAGAGACAAACAAACGTTCACTAAGAACTCCACGTAAACAATAAACAATAAAAAACCTTTTGACGTGTTTGTATTTGTGCTGCAGAGCCACAGACCGGGCCGTGGAGCCTCTGAAGGCAGAGCTGGCTGAGCTGGAGCAGCTGATCAGAGACCAGCAGGATAAGATCTGTGCTGTGAAGTCCAACATACTGAAGAACGAGGAGAAGATTCAGAAAATGGTGACTGGGATCAACTTCTCCTCCAGAACCTGAGCGACAAACATAAACACGTTCTGAATATTAGGCGTCAGCGTTTAATTGTTCCGGAAAAATCTAAGGTCATTTATTTCAGGGGTAACGACAAAAACTGAACTCGTAGGTTTGGGACCTGTAAGCCAAGTACAGAATGGAGCCATGCTGTGCTTTAGAGGTTTTAGATTATTCTAAAACCATTTAAAGGTTGAGCTTCATCTGTCTGCATTGGTCTTGATGCCACTCGGCTTTAGTTTTGTAAATTTTGTGCCTTTTTGGTCGAAGCAAACCTCCTGCGTTCTGAATGTTTGGGTAAAGGCACATTTAGCAACCACTATGTACTGTACACTTTTCTTTGTACGGAGGAGAAACATGCTTTTGTACACTATTTTATCTTGGAATGTTGACATAAAACTTCACTGTTAGCTGGCTTTATGATCGTTTTGTAGATATAACTGCATTTACTTTGAGGTTTTAGACTAATTAAACTGCTGACACAATCAGCTGGTTAAAACAGTGTCTTAATAAGTTGGAGGGTCCTGTTAGTTTTGTCAGAATAGTGTGAATGTTTATGAAGCGTTCACACTATTCTGATCCGTTTTTCTTCTGTACGTTTTTTGGCGCATTTCTCGTCCTGCAGTTTTCAAATTATTTCAACAAATCATAATGTTCAGCTCTTTCAGGACAATCGTGCTGACTTTTGGTATTCATGCAACTTTTGCTTTTTTGAAACATTTTGCTTTTTCTGCCACTTATTTTCTCGTAGAAAATGAATTGAGCTCATTTGTCATCCTTCATATCTTTAGATCTGTTTACAATCTTTTACTGATCCTTTCACATTTTGTTCTGCTTCAGCTTCCTTGTGCAAATTTAAACTTTTTTTCCCCAACTACTTTCACCTAATTTCTGTTTTTGCAGACGTTTTGTGCTCCTTTCAGATTCTTTCTGCTAACTACAACATTTTTTATTTGCTTTTTCTAACTTATTTCTGCTAATTTCAGCTTATTTCTGGAAGTTTCAGCTTTTTCTGCTCTTTCGAGTACTGTTAAGCTGTTTTTATGCTAATTTGAGCTTTTTCAGCTAATTTCACTTTTTTGCTCTCACTTAAAGCCTAATTCAGCAATACTCCCTTCTGATAATTTAAGCTTTCTGCTATTTTAGCTACTATTCAGCTGTTTTATTTTTTATTTTTTTGCAAATGTCTGCTTTTTTTTAAGATAATTTCCACTTTTTGTGCACATTTCTGCTTCTTTAAGTCTAATTGGGTACAATTTTGCTCTCCACTTCCTTCTGATAATTTAAGTTTCTTTTAGCCTTTTCAGCTATTTTTTTCTTCTAATTTCAGCTTTTAAATCTTATTTACTTTTTTTTGTGCTGATTTCTGCGTATTTAAACCAAATTCAGCAAACGTGTTCTTTCTGCTTTCTTCTGCTAACTTAGGCTTTTTCTTGCATTTCAGCATGTTTTTAGCTAATTTCAGCTGTTTCTCAGCAAAAAGCATTCACACTGCATTTTCGCAGGAAATGCAATTTCTCTAGTTTGGTTTTAAATGTTCTTCTTTCTTCTCTGTTCTTGATTTCTTGGCCTCGTTCTCAGATCCCATTGTGTAAAAAAATGTCACTCTTCATTCACTCTTCCACTCTTAAAGCACTTCTGCACTTTGATAATGTGAAGTCACTTTTTAAACATTTTAAGGGGATAAATGTGCTTTTTGTCAGCTTTGCAGTTTACGATTCTTTCTAACATAAAAACATTAGATTTTAGTGTAAATGTGAATTTAAAAGTAAAAGTGTAGGCGTCCTGAAGAATTTTTTGAAACAGCTGGCTAGATCAGAGTTTATTTATACATTTTACAGATACAAAAAGAATATATTTTGCCTGCTTCCTTTGCAGCTGTGTGAATGTGCTTTATACATGGAGCTAACAGGAATAAGCAATACTAAGCTGGTAAATGTAGTCAAGATGTCTGACTAAAAGTGACCTCTCTCCTAGTTTTTTTCTCAAAAACACAAATTGGACTGATGAATGTAATCCTTTTTTTTTTTTTTTTACAATAATTAGTTATTCCCATCAAATAAAAACTAAGTTTATTAATTCAGAGGACTTATTTTTACCAAAACCATCAAATATCTACATTTTCTGCTCACAGGTTTTGTACTCCTGCCTTTTCGGATTAGTTTATTGCCGAACTGTCAAACGTTAAACACCTCTAAGAATTTACTAATGCCATGACCTAGAATATTTAAAGAACTGTTTTTAATACAAGGGAGAGATATGCTTTGAAACTGGTGCCTCCTTTTGTCACTGAAGAGAAGCTTTGAAAAATAACATTTACATTATTCTCTAAAGAAAGAAGAGCCTTGTTGAAGGTTTAACAGGCAAACTGCACTAATATTGCTTTAAACATTTTTTCTCAGTATTTTATGAAACTCGTCTTAAATCAGTGGGACCTGTACTGGAGAACTACTAATACCTGAAGGGTGAACATCCTTGTTGCTCCTGCGTTACATGAAGTGACCGTGTACACTGCACACTGTCCTCAGTCGTTGTTTTTTAAGATGTACATTCTGTATATGTGGAGCCTGTATCATAGTGAAATGAGTCTATAATTTTGTAGTGGAGTGGGAATAAAATAAAGACATTGCAGTAAATGTTTGTCTCTTGTTTATTATTTGTGACGGTGTAAATTGGGGGTTTGTTCAGCCTGTGACTTAATGAGAAGGTTTAAAGTGACGTGATGACTCTACTTTGTAATTCTGAAGGTTTTATGTAGACTTTCTGCTACACTGGACTAGATTATTTAATTTGGGGGCCTTGTAAACATTCAGTTTGCATGTGAAAACCTTTGATAATGTGTTTAAATCAGATTGCGACTCCCTCGTGGGCTCGTAACGACTCATCTGTGCTTCGGAGTCCCGGCTCTTGTGACGGCGTCCAAAGCAGCGAGTGAGTTGGTTTCCAGCGAATACAAACTAAACACTCTAAATCTGCGTTGTATTTGAAGTGGAAACCTTCAGCTCAGCATTCCTTTTATTAAACCGAGCTGGGAGTCTGCAGGCAACCTGTCCGCCTATGAGGACTCACGGGTCTGCTGACCTGTGGGTTTATTTTTAAAGCAGTGCCATGATCTCAGTGTCTGTCATCGGGCTGCAGAAAGCCATGGCTGCATGTCTCCCTGGTGTATGTTACCCACCCAAAAATGACTGTGCACACGGACAGCTAAAAGATGGATGTGATACATTTTAGTTATGTTCATTTTATGCTTACCTTATCTGGATCCACCCTTTCTTTTTATATATTTTGCTTCCAAGGAGCCAAACTTGCTTGTAATATTTAAAATTGATCTTTTCTCCAGGCTTTTTTAAGGGGTTTTCTTTAAACTTTTTTTTTTTTTTTTTTTCATTTGCCGGTACTTTCAATACAACACTCTGAACTTAACTATATTTAGAAGTAATTTTGTTCTCCTTTGTTTTTAAAGCCTCGTACTTCCGACCTGAATTATTCAGGCATGAAAAAGCTTCTAAACTAAAGGGATGAACCAATGTTGTGTTGACGAGTAACACAAAACTTGGCAAAAAATCGATTCTACTACGGATCGATCATTAGACGCATCGTTAACCATCAAAACAATATATCATTTTTCTGCTTGCATGTACAAAAGCAACATTTTAATTAGCACTACATTTGTACCAATAAAATGTTTCCCACAGAGTTATAACCTGAAATCATGGAGTAAAATATCCATCTTAAACGTTTTGCTGGGCCTTTGCAGTACCCTGAGGTGATTTTTGTTGTAACTTGGTGCTATAAAAATAAACTGAATTGAATTGCAGTACCGTTCAGATTCACTAAACCGATTTCCTCCAATTTTTCTCATTCATGCTGAGATGTGCCAATTGACAGCTTACTAAGTTTAGTGCAAAAAGATGTTTTGTGACTGTCAACTTGCGTGCATCGTTATATTTAGCTAAAACTGCATTTATAGCGCTGATTTAATATGGGTTTTTATCAACTAAAAACAAATTATGCTCATCATATTTTATAAGGAGGCTGGCCTCTTTTACAGAAGCGTGTCCTGACGTTTACATGACGGGTGGTATGAGAACTGCATGATTGGAACAGCCCAAAATCTGACAGATTCCTTCCTTCATTAGAAGATATTTACACTGGAAGATGCAGAACCAGAACAAAGATTCTGGACCCCACCCGTTCATCTCCTTACTTCAAACCAGCAAGGCTGAGGAACAACAAGTGAGGCTCATGAGCCTTTAAACTACCCTCTAAACTTTAGGTCATTTACTCTACATTTTATTTATTTTACCATGGTCTGAGGAACACATTTCATTCTCGCGTTGGAGTCGGACTTCATAAACATTTTTTATGCTTAAATTATTCACAGGCCTAGTGTTATGAGGTTTAAGTCCAACAAGAACTGGAACAAAAAAATATGCAACCTATTTCAAATAAATTCTGGCAACATATTTAAAAACTATTTAATGCAGACGTTTTTGGAATAAACAAACATTTGGTCACACAAGACAAAGTTCTTTTCAAAGATTAAAAAAAATAAATCTCAAATAATTTGAGGTTTTTTTTTAATCATATTATTTCTAGGACTAACAAATCAAAACAAAACTTAAAATTTCTTTTAAAATAAGGGTAACAACTTAAGTCAATGTGATTAAATTCGGTTTTCTGTTTAGGCCGATTAAAAATAAAGTAAAAAAAAAAAAAAATAGACGCGGCCCCTTTAAATGTGACAGAGGATCTCAACCCGGAAGTAGCGCAGTGACTCAAATGGACGCCTCCGTCAACAACAGTCGCGTTTGTTTATGTGCTGGTCTTTAGTCCGGTTCGGGCCTTCTTTGGTTTATAAGTCTTCAAAGGGAGACTGTGGGTCATTTCCGGGACCATCATGGCGGACGGTCCAGTCGCTGATGTGGACGAGCCGCCCAGCAGCATCATCTTCCCTCCGCTCATCACCGTCTCCCACCTGCCCGGGGCCACTAACGCAGGTAACAAGAGCCCAGGTGATCCTGCTGGTTCTCACGGACCTTGAAGCTGCATACAGTATTTTGGATTGCATGCCTTCACATATTACATTAAAAAAAAAGTATCTAAATTAAAATTTCAGATTTTTTTTAGGAGGGATCATGTGTATTTTTGCTTTTCTTTCTCAAACACTTATGAAAAACAACAACAACAAAAAGAAACATGAGAAGTCCAAAGCACAGAATATCTTTTGTTTTTCTGTGTCAAGGCTTTTTCATACTGCAGTGTTGTAATGGTGTTTATTATTCCTGATTGTTGTGGTATGGAAGTCCATTGCTGCCACTCTAAAGTAAAAGGTTCAAGGTGACTTTATTGTCATTCGCATCACATGTGGTACATGTGGGTGGAATGAAATTGTGTACTCAAGGTCCCAGTTAGACCCAAAACTTGCAAAAATGTAAAGTCTAAAAAAGAAACAGTATACGAGGATATAAGATATACGCTAAACTAGGCCTGTCACAATAACAAATTTTACTGGGCGATTAATTGTCTAAGAAAATTATTGTGATAAACGATAATATTGTTTGAAATTTTGACAATAATCAGTAATTATTGTCAAATTTAAGAAGCAATGTTTGCTAATTTGTTTTGGGTATTATGCCTTTTTTTGACCACCTGATGGCAGTATAAGACTGTTTGAACCGAAGGATGGATAGTGAGGGAGCGAGCAGCGTGTCTCTTTAAGAAAAATGGGAGGGAGGCCCCTTGACATGGCATGGGCTGTCGACTTCCTTTTATTCTGTTCTTATAATGGCGGACGCTCGGCGTGGTTTGAGCTCTTTAACATAAAATTTTTCACGCACAGCTTTTAATAAAAAATCAGTAAACAAGTTCTCAGCTTCTGTTTGCAGAGAAAAACTTTTTACACGAAGGCACGGGGGAATTTTGGAGCTTCGACAAGACGGAGGTTTTTTTTTCCCCCCGAAGTCGGCCTGTTAGCTTAGCTCACAGCTTAGCTTCTCAGCTTAGCTGCTTTTAACGTTCCAAAAACACGATTTTGGATGATTCAAATGGATTTTAAAGAGAAAGGGAGGGGTCCTTGAAGAGCACCAGAGTTGAGCCTTTTCTCATCCAGTGTCTTCAGTAGAAAGAGAGAGACACGAAGAAACGATAAAGCCGATAAACGAAAATGAGGTTGATCATTTTCATTTATCATGGAATTATTTGATTTATTGTTTATTGCAACAGGCCTACGCTAAACAATAATAATGTAATATAATATGGTGTATTTAAACAGCAGCCTGAACATGAGTCTGTTGTGAGCAGACGAGTAAGAAATCAGCAGCATGGATAATCAGCAGCACAGATAAAGTGACAAATCTCCAATTAAAGTGGCATTGCGGTGTTTTTTTCTGGTTAGGGTTCAGGGTAGAAGCTGTTCCTCAGTCTAGTGGTTCTACACTTAATGGTTCTACACTTAATGGTTGTCATAATTATGTGGCCGTAGTTCTGAGTAATCATCTCATAACTGTGATTTAACATTTTGTATTTCAAAATACAATCTCAGATTTTTGACTTTGAATATAATTATAATATAGTATTTCACAAATATGATATAATGGCTTAAAATTTTGAGAAATTTAAGTCATAATCATAAGCAAGTGAGTTTTTTTATTTTTAAATTTTTAAATCAAGATGGCAGAGATGGGCTTCCATAGTCCCAGATGCTTTTACAGGAGCTTCACGGAATCCAAAACGACCGCAATAAGCCGGTTCCTTTATTTAATACAATAAAGAAACTCATGTAGAGTTGTCAGGAAATGTTGAGCCCTAATGTGTAACATGTTTTATAACATGAAGGAAAACCTTCTACTGGTTTGAGCACGGAAATGGAGCCATGATTTATGCAACTATTGGGTCACAGTAATGTAAAGTACATTGGCATGCTGCTTTTTATATTTGTCGCTCAGTATGAACTGTACAAATATGTGTAAATAAATAAAACCATAATAAACAGCAACACATATGTCGACACATTCTTATTCTATAATAATTTTGTTGTTTTAACTATAGGTTGTGCAGAAATGTTCTTGCTGTCAGAGGCCGAATCCACAGGATGTTGTTTGTTGAGGTTTGTTTCTTGTCGAAGGAAATCCGACAAAGATTAGAATTTCCTTGTCGTTTTCTGCGTGTGCGTCCGTCAGGTCGGCACCTGAAGGAATGGCTCCAGGAGCAGTTTTGTGACAAGCCTCTGGAGCAGGATGACATGCGCCTCCACAACGCCGCTTACGTGGGCGACCTGGACACCCTGAGGAACCTGCTGCAGGAGGACAGCTTCAGACGGTGAGGTGGATTCATAAAAACGCTGAGCGACGCTTCAATCTGCAAAGCTACAGACACGTCAGCGTCGGGTTTTTTTGTTTTTTTGATGGATCAATCGTGCAAACAGAAGGGGATTCACTGGACTGTTGCTTTATTTTAGGGATGCACAATATTGGATTTTTGGCTGATATGCCGATCGATAACTGATTCCGATAGCGATATTTTATATACTAACCTTTGTCAGAACATAGCTGTCTTATTTAGGCTTATTTGCTACAAAAGTTGTGTAACAGCTGTAACAGCTGGTGACATATATTCAGTAACAGACATATATGATATGCATAGCACTTTAACTTATATTAAATGAAAAGTGTTAAATGTTATTTATTAGCATTAGTCACCTGTGATGTCTCACTTGTGGAGGCTTGTTCCAGGTTCCTAGCTGCAGTGTGGGATCCTCTGCACTCCTGTGCATGAAGGACAGACTTTTTAAGTTCAAAGTTTTTGTCTATCCATTGCGCCGTAAGACTAATCATGCTAACGGGGCTAACACGACGTCCAAATGTCTGTGGTAAAACTCACCCAAGTGCTATCAGCTGTTAGCGTCTCAATGACGTCAGAAATGACGGCTTGTAACTCCGATAATGTTACGTCGGAAAAATCTCTCTGACTGTGGACGATGTAGCGAAGCTCCACGTCGTCCAAAAATCTTTGGAATTCGACATCCTCAACGAAAAACAAAAACGTCCACACCGCTGACATTTTGACTTATTCCTCTCCGCCGTGAGATCAGGTAGGTGCACGTGACGTCATCACGTTGTGCTGTCGCTGCAGGCATCCTTGTCACTGGGTTGTCACACAAAAACAGCATCTTTTATTTAAAAAATTTTTTTTCAGTGAGTTATTTCCATGGAATGGCCGATGTCCGATATTGAACTTTGACACTAATATCGTCCGATATCATGCCGATAATATTGTGCATCCCTGCTTTATTTATTAAAAAATGTGACAAATGACGGTTGAAGCTACATTGTTTTGTTTCTATATTTTGATTTCACGTTATGTTATATGTTGCTGTGTGCTTTGCCTGTTTGTTTCTGTTTTTGCACAGCCCTCTGGTTGGCCCTGTCACTGTTTAAAGTGCTTTATAAATAAAATGGTATGGTATGGTATTTTGGGTTGCACGCTGTCACAGATTAATTTTCAAAATAAAATGTCTAAATTACATTTTGAGGAGAAATTTTTAAAGGGGAAGGGTTTTTTTTCTTGTTTTTTTTTTTTCTTCTTTTCTTCCTCAAAAACTAATGTAAAACTTCAAATAAAACAAGTCCAAACCACTGAATGTCTTCCTTCTGATTTGGTTTCAGGCGTATTAATGAGAAGTCGGTGTGGTGCTGCGGCTGTCTGCCCTGCACCCCCCTGCGGATCGCGGCCACTGCCGGGCACGCCGCCTGCGTGGCCTTTCTGATCGCCCAGGGAGCCAACGTGGACCTGGTCGATGTCAAAGGTCAGACGGCCCTCTACGTGGCGGTCGTTAACGGCCACCTGGACTGTGTTCGGATCCTCCTGGAAGCCGGAGCTGATCCCAACGGGAGCCGGCACCACCGCAGCACCCCATTGTATCACGCAGCGAGGGTGGGGAGGGTGGACATCCTGCAGGAGCTCATCAGGTGAGGACCAGGTACTCGTGTCTCAACCAGGTGGTTCATCCATGTTTGGTAAACGGACTGGATGGTGTGTTTTGTCCCAGGTTCAACGCTGACGTCGACATGGACCACCAGCTGGGTCCCCGGCTCCTCCTGAGCGCTCGCACCCTGAACACCCTGGTGGTGTGTCCCCTCTACATCAGCGCGGCGTACCACCACCTGGAATGTTTCCGGCTGCTGCTCCGAGCCGGCGCGCAGCCGGACTTCAACTACACCGGGCCCGTCTGCCACGAGGCCCTGACCCGCGGCCTGGCCTCCTGCCTGCTGGACGCTGTGCTGCGACACGGCTGTGACGTGGCCTTCATCCACCTGCTGCTGGATCACGGGGCCGACACAACCCTCGTGCCCTGGGACGAGTCGGAGCTGGAGGCGCCAAACCGGAGGAAGGTGGATCCGGAAGCGCTCAGAGTCTTCTTGGAAGCGAGGAGTGAGTACGAATATCTCCCAAGAACAAATCCAACAAGTAGATATGGGGAGCACTAAAACAAGTTCTTTTTAATAAACGTTTGGCGAAAACAGTAGTCCCTCGATTATCGCAGGGGATGCGTTCCACACACCCGCGATAGTTGAAAAACCATGAAGTAGGAACGCTATATTTATTTTAGTATGTATGTATATTTTAAGGCTTTATAAACCCTTCCCACACTCTTGCAATGTTCTAAACTTTTGAACCTACGTCATTTTAACAACATGCGTATATGTACTGTACAGTACTGCAAAATTTTATATGGGGACTCACCAGCCTTGGTCCGGTTCTGGTCGAGTTCTGATCGGCTCTCTGCAGCCGTTGAAAACCAGACGCTTTTGGAGTAGAGTTGCAATCAGGCCTAAAAAATCCGGCCCGACCCGAACCCATATCATCGTTTCCGAGCCCGACACGAAACCGACCAATTAACTGTGATTACAGACCCGAACCCGACCAAAAACAGACTTTTTTTTATTTTTTATTAAGCTTTTCCTGCTTCAGTTTGATTTAAAAACATATTTCAAAGAAAGGAAAATAGAGGATTTCTTGTTTATTAACATATTAGAAGCATATGACGGCTTTAAAACAGGATATCTTCATGCTGAATTCAACATTTCAGTGACTCAGCAGTTTTGGTCGTCATGTGATTCTCCTTTTGTTATTGGATGCTTCATGTATTTTTAATACGAGACTGATCTGGACTGCAGGCGGGACAGTCGGGGACTCTCTTGTGTTCAGGAAGCCTGTTGGTGTAACGTGTGCAGAACGAGGTCAAGCATCATTCTCCTTAAATTACTTTTCTGGGAAAAGATGTCACTTTCATGAAACATAGCTCTCTACAAACCTCTGATACCTTCACACTTACAGCATGCAGGTCAGATACAATGTGGATGCCGATGCTAATTTATTTTGTTTGTCAGGTAGAAACAACTAAAATGTGGACTTATTTGTCCATAAAACACGTCTACAGTCTGTCTGTCCATCTGAGATCCAATAATTAATCATTCCTTTTACAAAGCAGCTATAACTTAATCATAAGATGATCTTAGTTTAAATCTCTGGGAATTCTGGAGTCCACTTTTAGTAAAACCAGCCTTATTTATTTAGACTTATTTAGAAAGTATGAACATTTTTTACACAATGAAGCAACATGTTCAGGGTAAACTAAGTCCAAAACAACAAACAAAACGTTCAGTTCTTTAGGGCACTGTGTTACTTAAAACTTCAATAGAAATGAACAAATAAAGCCTCTAATTTAATCGCCCTAATCTAACAAAAGGAAAAAAATTAGTGGGGGAAAAGATTAGAGCTTTATAGAGATTAGAGAAAAGATTTAAAGTAGCTTGGATTTATTACAAAATGTGAAAAACTTACAAACTAATTTTCAGTAAAATCACAAATTATGTCCACACAGCTTTTGACCAGTGAGAGTCACAAATCACTGCTGGAATGTCACGACTTGTAAACTTCCAGATGTTGTGTGGGAGCCATTCAGCAGCTGACGAGCTTCTGTGCAGATCAGCAGCTGACCTGTCAGTACTCCAAGATCCTCTGTAGAGAAGAGGTCTCACTCCATCCTTAAAACAACGAAACCCAAACACTGCTCAGGTAAACAAGGATCACAATAACAACAAAGTCCATGCTCAATAATCCAGGTATAAAATCCAACATTTTTCAGTCAGGTCATCTGGACAGTTTCTTTTTTTTTGTTTTTTTGTACGTTTCGCCTTAGATCCGGAAGGCTTCATCAGTCAAGGAAACACAACAAAACTGATTCTTCCTCCAACAGTTTACTCCAAAGTGGAACAAACCAGTTCTGCCTGTGATCAGATGGTCTCTTTGTCACGCCTCTCCTCCATTGCCGGCCCTCGTCCTTGTTGACTGTCTTGTCAAACTGGTTGAAAACAACAAAGTCCATGCTCAATAATCACAATACAAGGATCACAATACAAACAGGTTGTAACATCTGGCATGAGAGGCAGATGTGAGTTATTTCAAGGAATGCTAGGAATTAATTTTTATTTAATTACTCACATTAACTTTGAAAGCCTAAGATTTTAATGTATTTTTATACCAAATCCTGACCCCCTCATCTGCAACTAAAACCTCACAATAAACGAGGGACGACTATATATATATATATATATATATATATATTTTTTTTTTTTTTTCAAAAAAAACAAGATTTTGTAAAAGAACAAAGCAGGTTGTTAAATCAGTTTTCCTGCGGTGTTTAGACGTAACAGTTCAGGTTTCTCAACATTTCTTCACAGCCAACAATAAAAGTTATGGACCAAATATCTGGATTAAGTTATTTAATGAAAATCTAAAAGATAAAGACTGAACTGAATCTATGTGGACTTATTTGCTGGAACCTGGTTGTCTTTTATCCCAGGAAACCCTCAACGGCTGACGCACTTGTGTCGCATCCGGATCCGCGGAGCCATGGGCAAACACCGCCTGAAGCACACGGCTGTGTTACCGCTACCAGAACCTATAAAGAATTTCCTGCTTCACCAGAACTGACTACCATCCACACCGTGGTCTTGTAAAGTGCTCATCCAACTGAATCCTTGGGAGAAAAAGAAAAAATACCAGTGAGTCCCAAAGACACGTTGTTATCGTCTTCTTATTTCATGATAATAAACGTTTTGTTCTAAATGTTTGAACGGTAGCGGTTATGTCCCATCTTTGCGTCAATATAAGGAATAGTTGAAACAATTATGGGGATGAGAGAAGCCTTAGCCATGTGTCGACTTGTGGAAACTGCTGTGTGTGTCTTACAGTCAACGTTTTTCACCAGAATATGTTCTGGTTCTAGCACTTTTAGAATAAAATCCAGTGTTGAACTGGTTAAAGCTCATGTTCCATCCATTGGTATGAGATTGTACTGATCCAGCTCTTTTAATTGCTTTTGCATTTATGCAAACCTTGATTTTAGGTCTCTCAGGCCTAGAATCCAGGTTTATAGCTCAATGATTTATTCGATAATCTGCTAAGTATTTATTGAAGTCAGCTGCACTTTTCCAAATGGTTACCACAATGGATGTTCCCATTGTTTTTTTGAGGGGGGTTTTGCAACAAAAGATTAAACAGAGTAGATTTTTTTCTTGCAAAAAATAAACCCAAAAATGAATAACATGCACAGTGACTTCACCACATAGATTTCTCAATAATCATGTGATTGGGTAAGGTTTGCTTACCCAGTGCTGCCATTTTGAGGGACCTAAATCATGTAAACATTGGGTATTCCAGCAGTAAAAGTTTCCTAAATGGTGGCATTTACTCCTGTGACAACTTAAGATAAAAAATGGTTAACAGACCCAGAGTTTCTACATATTTTCATCTTCCTTAAAGTAGACAGAAATGGCATGGTGAGCATATGCCTGCAGGAGAAAATACTGAAGCTGTAGCAGGTTCAGTCCTGAGGGCACTCATGTGAAATATGTTAATATCTGTTCTCACCACTTTATTAAAGGTAAATATTGGGTGTAATTTATTGTTATGGGGAGAATTTAGTGACCCATGAATTTAAGAACTGTTGAATAGGGTAATGACTGATCAGAAAAATATGTTCTAAGTTCAAACATATGTTAATAAACTGTTTTATTAGCGCCATAAACGGGGTTAGAGACATTTTATTCTTTGGTGGGTCAGTTAATCTGTTTTATTGTTCATTGTCTGCATTTATTAAAACCAACAAGGCTGAGTTTTGTTTGGCTATAGTTTTAGTATAATAGGTTGATCAACAAGTATTTTTTCATAAATACAACTCACGGCGGTACGGTGGTGCAGTTGGTACAGCTGTTGCCTCTCAGCAAGAAGGTTGCCAGATCAAATCCCGGCCGGGGACCTCTCTGGATGGCGTCTGCATGTTCTCTCTGTGCATTCGTGAGTTTACTCGGGGTGCTCCGGTTTCCTCCCACAGACCAAAAACATGCATGTTGGGCTGATTGGTAACTCTAAATTGTACCTAGAGAGTGAATAGTTGTTTGTCTCATTTGTCTCCATGTGTCCGTGTGATGGACTGGAGACCACATGTCCAGGGTGTCTCCTGCCTCTCACACAGTGACTGCTGGACATGGGCACCAGTATTCCCGAAAACGAAGAAGCTGGTGAAGATGATGGATGGATGAAATATATCTCACCTATTGCTTTAGTTAAGTAGAGATAGATGTTGTTATGCTGTACTTGACTTTTGGTCATTCATTGGGATTGATTTCATATTGTCACATTTTCAAACCCCAAACTCCAATTTCTGCAGAAACCTGGTCTTAATGTCTGCAGGAAATTGATCAAAATAATCATAAGACAAGACTGGAGACAATTGGAAACATTTTTAAGTACTGTTGATTTCTTGTTGATATGGAACATGCAGTGTTTTTTTCAATTGTGTTCATTAGGCAGTCCCTCAAAATGGTCGCCACCTAGCCTGGGTCCGACGATTTGCAGACAGATTCATTGGGTAGTGAATTGCTGTTGGAAAGTCCTAAGTTAACTGTATTTCCATGTATTTGGGGTCAAATTTATTTTAATGTTGAATAATGTTAAAAGTTACTGTCTCCTGAGGTGTTCTAGAAGCAGTGGTCTTCAATCCTGGCCCCCGAGAGCCACTATCCTGCATGCTTTAGATGTTTCTCTGCTCCAGCACACCTGGTTTGAATCAGTGTGCATTTAACAGGCTTCAGCAGAACATGAAGAGGTAATTCAACCACTGAATCAGGTGTGTTGGAGCAGAAAAACTGCTAAAACGTGCAGGATGGTGACCCTCGAAATCCAGGATTGAGGACCACTGGAGAGCTACCATCATTGATTATAGTTTGCACTTGCTCCTTTTATTTGTCCAAGTCACTCCTTCATGTCACTACAATAGCCCAGAAAAGACAAATCAAGCACCACCACTTCAGGAGGCCTTTTGCAGACACTGTGATTTACTAGAATGGTGATTTAGTTGGTTGTAGTTTGCAGTTTTTGCCTCTAGATGGCACCACATACTGCACAGTAACGCTTTTAAACAAATTCTGCATATTTTAAATAGCTCCAATTTTATGAATTAAAGATCATTTGAAAGATCCAGACGGAAATACTGGATCCAAGAAAGATAAATACATATTAGGCGTAAATAAATGGAGTAATAAATGTTAAAGCTGGTTAATAAAATCTTATTTCTGTAACACTGACAATCTATAAAGCGACAAATAAAATGTTTTTGTGAAAAGTAAAATAGCTTTGTATTTATTATCCAGAAGGCTGCCTTCTCTGTCTGTTTTTTAACATTAACATGTAAATGTTCAGCATGTTGAATGTTTTGCTTTGTATGCATCTATGTCATCTTGATTTGCATTCAGTAAATGTGATCTCGGTTGTTTCGTTGTATGCTGGTGTTTGTGATATTGAACTACATGATAAGTGCTGGAGCCAAAGATAATATTAATTTCAGTCTGATTAGAGCTGTAAATTATGTTTGTAATGTGTTCCTGTTCAACTAAAGCCCAAATAAAACCGCAGCAGGTAAGACGAGTTCATGTTAGATCAATGAGTCAAATTAAAATTAACCATCTGGAATTTCCTTTAATTTTAACAGACTGAAAAGATCTGACATGATGACACATTTCAGATGGCTTCAGACAAACACTTCCAGCTATACGGTAGTACCTCCTTTATTGCATGTGTTGGGTTCCCTCACCCCCACCCCCGCAATAAGTGAAAATCTGTAAAGTAGCAATGTTATATTTATTTTAGTATTATATTTTAAGGCTTTATAAACCCTTCCCGCACTCTTGCAATGTTCTAAACTCTTAAACCTACGTCAGTTTAACAACATACATATATGTAGCTACTAAATTTTACTTACCAGGCTCTAAAGAACAGGACTCGGTTCTGCTCTGACGCAAAAAGTCCCAGTGGGCTCGGATCTATGGCAGCGTGTCCTTATTGACCGGCTAAGATCTCTCAGGTTCACCTCTGAGTCTGGGGGTCTGGTTCTTGTCTGGTTCAGTGCAGCCCTTGTGTGCCGAAGCACATTTTGGGGCGGGGGGCAGACCTTTGGTTGGCCAGCGCAGGACCGGAGGTGGTCGATTGAAGGCTCCCACATACTCAGGCGTATTGTGTGGACTCCGTGAGCGACGTGGACTCCACGCGTACTGTCCGCAGGCGGTTAAGACTTCATACGCGAGCGTACACCCTGATGGGCTGCAGCCCAGCCCTGCAGGTAAAGGGCATTTACCTTTGGGACTAATTGAGGTCGCCGATTGGTCATTTGCTGACACGCCTACTGGATTGATTGGCAATGATCCCATCCCAGATCAGAATTGTGAACAAAAAAAAAAAAAAAACGAGAGGTGGCCCAGGAGCAGCGGTGTTCTTTGTTTATATGTTGTTAATAAAAAGTTCTAAAAAAAAAAAAAGGAGTGCTGGCCCTGTAGTCCACATATCAGACCGGCCCACCGGGAAATCTCCAGACCCTCCCAATTGTGCATCCTTGCGACTGGGTGCTCGGAACACAGAGAGCAGTTGGTGTCGCATTCAAAACAGTCTGTCGCCGGGCAGTTTACTGTGCGACACCAAGTACGCATATGCGGTTGTAAATTTTTTTCTTTGTGAGGACATGGCCAGAGGAAGTCAATGTGGATTCGAAGCTGAGTCTGCCTCAAGTACACACTGACCTCCGTGGAGTGAAGTACGCCGAGTATGTGGCGGCCTTGAGTCCAAGTTTGGATGAAAAAATTTCCGATGGGCTCCGCATGGACCTACAGGGTGCGTTCCAGCTCAGAAGTCCTCGTGGGCCAGCTACCAGCTCTTAAGATTCACCGATGGGTCTGGAAGTCTGGTTCTGCTCCATTTCTGGTCCGGTTCAGTGGAATGTGTGTGCCAAAGTTACTGTTATAAGTTTAGAACTTTTTTCGATCAGATCAAAACTTCCCTCATAGTATTTCAGCAGAAAGAAATGGGACTTCTGGGCGGGGCCCTGTTGGCTTCTGGGAAATGTAGTCATTATGAGCAGGAATACAGTGGAGGCTTATTGAGAGAAAACTACAAAATGGCGGTGCTTGTCCAAAGTATTTTATTTTTTCGTTAATATTTTACTGTACAGTTCTGTCCCAATCATGTGAGTAATATTAAAGTTGACAATCCTGTCCTGTACAATAAAAATAAAAAAGTTAATGCGCGTTGACAAACCACGATATAGCGAGTCCGCAAAAGTCGAACCACGAAATCGCAAGGGACCACTGTATTCGGGATAATTTGTAAAATAAGTTTGCTTCATTTTAAAAGAAACAACACACTTTTTATTTAAAAAAAAAACCCATTTATTTAAACATGCAAGTGCAGCTGATTTGAAAAAAAAAATCACATTGTGTGCTTAATGAACAAAGTTTAGCATTTGTTTTGAAATTTGACTTGTTTTTGTTGCTTTATAATCCAGATAATCACAATATACACCTCTCATCCACCCCACAAATACTCTTATAAATATTGTATATGTATATACAATACAGCATATACAATATATTTCAGCATATACAATACTTGTATATGCTGAAAATTGATCATTACAACATCAAATTTATTAACTGAAGTCAAATCCTAA